CACGAGGGTGTTTGGGGAGTATGAAATTTGTGAACCGATTGTGTTCAGCTGTCCCCAGTTTCCGCAGCAACAGACGAACTTTCCACGCATCATCAAACTGAGCAAAGTCGGTTTGAAACATGTCTTCATATTTCTTGAACCAACTTTCGAAAGTTCGTCCAGATTCAGCATCAAAATTGAATTCGGTAATTGAGCTGGCAGCAGCATCTGCGGAAGAAGACGGAGGCTCACCCTGTCGCGTCGCGTTCACCGACATACTACGCATCAGAGATTCAACAAGCCTCATCTGAGCTTCTTCTAACTGCTTCTGTTGTTGCTGTTAATTGGAGTGAGCTGGCAGCAGCATCTTCGGAAGAAGACAGAGGATCAAACGTTTTTGTCGCGTTCACCGACATACTACGCATCAGAGATTCAACAAGCCTCATCTGAGCTTCTTCGAACTGCTTCTGTTGTTGCTGTAAAATTAATTGGAGTTGATCTACTGAAATTGACATCGTGGGTTCGGGTTGTCGCCAGTTGTTGCGGCTGAACCCAATAGTTACTTCAATCCTACCCTTGATGTGTGGATCACTTTTTGATCTTACAGCGTCCGTATAGCCTTAATCGAGTGCAACTAACCCACTTACGAATGTAGTGTAAGTCATACTCAGTGCGTCCATTTCATGGTCAATGCGGCAGATTATCCTGTGTCCAATGTCTCATGGTTACATAGCAAAATACTGATGACTACTCGCCTTGCAATGCAGTCACTATTATCACTTTTCATGCTTATTTCCGCGTGCGCTGTAGAAGTTCGCTGAAAAGTACCTCAGCTAGTCAATTAGATTTTTTCTTTATCTTAAGTAATACTATAAACATCGGGACATCGGTCATGCTGCTTCCGTTGTTTCATTCAACATTGGCCTCCTCTTACCTTATGAGATGGGTTTTCTTATTTCTATTCATCGTAGTTTTGGAATGAATAACCGATTCAAAGAGGAATTTCCCAATGAACTACATGGAAAATTAGCTCCGGAAGAGTTTCAAGAAACCATTCGGAAAGTCAACGATCGATTGGAAAAATCGTTACCAACCCATGTGCGATGGTTATTCTGTGGTCTGCTCTGTTGCTGCTGCACAGCCGGCTGCTCCCTATGGCCCGTCATCCATATGAGCAGGCGAACGCGCAGGGATCTGCAGAAGACACTTGACGCTGAAAATCACCGTCTGTATATTAATATTGGCCTCCGCCTATCGTTGGCAAAACAGCAATCGTCGGAATCAACTGCATTAATGGAATATGTGAGTGGAGTTTTGAGTGTTTACAAGAATTTTAAGCGTAAGACTGCAAATGGTGTGCTCCCATGAAGTGAGGTGAATTTTCCAGTCTCAGGACTACTCGAATTGGTGTGCAGTGATGGTGTGCAGTCCAAGAAGGATACCTATAAATTAAGTGTGGTTTCGCTCAATGTGATGGAAAATTATTTATCACGCTTGTACCAATCTCTAGTATGGGAGAGGTGAGTCCGGTTACTCGGGGAACTGGATACTAAGTCTGGTGGTGTGGGACGCTCCCTTAAGTGCCATGCACGTCAGCTAGCGCCGTTGAATCCATGCACGATAGTATTCTGGTCCGTGTGATAGTTACTGCTGTTCAACGAAGGACACAGCTTTTCACTTTTGTCGTAGGACGTGTAACATTCGATATTATTCTGGTCCCGTGGCTTAGTAATTATCTGCCTCATCCAAAGTGTGATGACAATTCAGGTAAAACATTTTGGTCATTGAACACTTGCCAGATTCTTATAGGAATAAGTCAACTGACCGAAATTAAGCCTCACACCTAATTTTACTTCGTGTAGTTGTGTGTAAACGGGCCCTTGGAATGGCCGGAAACCTCTACCCAAAGTGCCGCGCGTCCGATGTTTACGCAAAACTGGTGCATTCTAAAAGGACTCAACATGCTTTTGTGTAATAGGATTCTCCGGATTCGACTAAACCTCTTGGAAACATTGGGGGATGCTGCTATATGTGCGAATGTTTAAAAAGACTGTTCGACCTTATATCTCCCCACTACGCTAAGGTAAGTTTGGGAGGACCTCTTAATTGATGATCAACTGGGCCTTCCTATATTGCAACCAAAGCAACGCTGCGGAACACGTTAGACTTATTTCTCACTTTGATGTGACCGTAACTTATTTGTGTTGACCACTAAAAGCATATTCATTAGCTCCTTCTATTCATGTTCATCAGACCTGTGCAATGAACAAGGGTAACTCTAATGTTAAGAGCTTGTGTTCAGTACGAGTGTATTTCCAGGATAAGCACTGCTTTTTCCAGTCCCAGAGGTGAACGCTTTTCGGATGGAAACGTTATATTTCGGTATTTATTTACATACATATCGAAATGTGGACCAAGACAGGGGTTCACCTAATCCCCTGTTAGGTGTTGCACTATAGAATTTTAACCACCTAAAGTTAAAATCGAAACTTCAGTACATACCAGGGGGGTGGTAGTCGGATATGAATTAATTGCTGGCCGGTTGATTTTCATTACTCATACGAAACGCCTTTGTACATGTAGATTGACTTTACTCATCCGGATGAACATCCCCAACGACAAGCAATCTAATTGATGTAACATTTGGTTCATTAGCTGGGACCCGGTACATCACCTGAGAAAATTCACTGGAAGTGGTCACCCTATTAGAATTGATCAAAGACGTTACAACGTAGCTCGAATTGGACTCCTTCATTCCACATGTCAGTCGTGGATGGTTGCAGATCGCGGCAGGTTTTTGTTCAGATATTCGTTCAGTGCTGGTTAGTACTGGATGATTAGCAGTGGATTCGCTGATGCTTAAGCTCTCTCGGTGCTTTTGTCGGTGAAACCTGTCTAAGTTTGCCTTTCAAATGACACTCTTGGACGACATTGAGCCATCTTGCGCGAACATAGCGAAGTTTGGCTGACCCATGGAATCATTTCGAGCTCTGTTACTCCGCCTTTGATCAATTTTAATCGGACAGCCACCTCTGGTCCTAGATAGTCACCCAAATGTAACGTGAATTTGATTGCTTTCTGCTGTGGAGGAGCCGTTCATCCGGGTGCGCAAAGTCGACCCACTTGTTCAAATGTAATTTGTGTGAACATCTTAAATCAACTGGTCAGCAACGGATACTTGTCAGACTAGTCTCCCCCGTGGTGTACACGGATGCTTCGATTTTGACTGCACGTCAGCTAGCGCCGTTGAATCCATGCACGATAGTATTCTGGTCCGTGTGATAGTTACTGCTGTTCAACGAAGGACACAGCTTTTCACTTTTGTCGTAGGACGTGTAACATTCGATATTATTCTGGTCCCGTGGCTTAGTAATTATCTGCCTCATCCAAAGTGTGATGACAATTCAGGTAAAACATTTTGGTCATTGAACACTTGCCAGATTCTTATAGGAATAAGTCAACTGACCGAAATTAAGCCTCACACCTAATTTTACTTCGTGTAGTTGTGTGTAAACGGGCCCTTGGAATGGCCGGAAACCTCTACCCAAAGTGCCGCGCGTCCGATGTTTACGCAAAACTGGTGCATTCTAAAAGGACTCAACATGCTTTTGTGTAATAGGATTCTCCGGATTCGACTAAACCTCTTGGAAACATTGGGGGATGCTGCTATATGTGCGAATGTTTAAAAAGACTGTTCGACCTTATATCTCCCCACTACGCTAAGGTAAGTTTGGGAGGACCTCTTAATTGATGATCAACTGGGCCTTCCTATATTGCAACCAAAGCAACGCTGCGGAACACGTTAGACTTATTTCTCACTTTGATGTGACCGTAACTTATTTGTGTTGACCACTAAAAGCATATTCATTAGCTCCTTCTATTCATGTTCATCAGACCTGTGCAATGAACAAAGGTAACTCTAATGTTAAGAGCTTGTGTTCAGTACGAGTGTATTTCCAGGATAAGCACTGCTTTTTCCAGTCCCAGAGGTGAACGCTTTTCGGATGGAAACGTTATATTTCGGTATTTATTTACATACATATCGAAATGTGGACCAAGACAGGGGTTCACCTAATCCCCTGTTAGGTGTTGCACTATAGAATTTTAACCACCTAAAGTTAAAATCGAAACTTCAGTACATACCAGGGGGGTGGTAGTCGGATATGAATTAATTGCTGGCCGGTTGATTTTCATTACTCATACGAAACGCCTTTGTACATGTAGATTGACTTTACTCATCCGGATGAACATCCCCAACGACAAGCAATCTAATTGATGTAACATTTGGTTCATTAGCTGGGACCCGGTACATCACCTGAGAAAATTCACTGGAAGTGGTCACCCTATTAGAATTGATCAAAGACGTTACAACGTAGCTCGAATTGGACTCCTTCATTCCACATGTCAGTCGTGGATGGTTGCAGATCGCGGCAGGTTTTTGTTCAGATATTCGTTCAGTGCTGGTTAGTACTGGATGATTAGCAGTGGATTCGCTGATGCTTAAGCTCTCTCGGTGCTTTTGTCGGTGAAACCTGTCTAAGTTTGCCTTTCAAATGACACTCTTGGACGACATTGAGCCATCTTGCGCGAACATAGCGAAGTTTGGCTGACCCATGGAATCATTTCGAGCTCTGTTACTCCGCCTTTGATCAATTTTAATCGGACAGCCACCTCTGGTCCTAGATAGTCACCCAAATGTAACGTGAATTTGATTGCTTTCTGCTGTGGAGGAGCCGTTCATCCGGGTGCGCAAAGTCGACCCACTTGTTCAAATGTAATTTGTGTGAACATCTTAAATCAACTGGTCAGCAACGGATACTTGTCAGACTAGTCTCCCCCGTGGTGTACACGGATGCTTCGATTTTGACCAGTGAACCGTACCGAATGTGAATTATGATACCGTATCTTTCTTTAATCCTACTATATATATGCGGCGTTGCGAACTTCTTGGGACCGTACTCAAGAATCAGTTTTATTTGCTGTTTCGTCGTTGTAGTCGCACAATTTGTAGAACCTGTGAATATCCTTATCGTTCGTTGGGTACTCGAGACCATGTTTCCTCCAGCATCAGTGTTATTTGCTGTTTCGTCGTTGTAGTCGCACAATTTGTAGAACCTGTGAATATCCTTATCGTTCGTTGGGTACTCGAGACCATTGTTTCCTCCTTTGGTGTGCACTAGCAAAATAACCGCACCAAGACAAGAGGAAGACTGTCCAGTCGAGAGCAAAATAGGTGCAAGCCGACCATATTGCTTTAGTACCCGTGCCACGCGTGGTCTTGCATGCCCATAGTGATGAGAACGTATCAGAATGAAACCGTCATGTATGGCAACAACCAACTGAACGCCAGGTAAGCAGGAGGCGATATCCAGCCACTTTTGAGCAGGCCTACTCCTCAGTCACGCCATAATAGCACTAAGTTTTGAAGACAATGGGAAATCCCGTGACCGCCGTAGCTGCTTGATCTAGGTGCAGGCTGCTGACTAAGTGTCCAGAGATGAGTCGCTGGAACTAAGAGAACATCACATTCGTGGTTGCTCAGGTATCCGAGCCCCTCGTCTCCAATCCAACCATATCAGTGCGCAGTTGAGGGATCAACCACCTGTAAACACGCCCCAGCTGCCAATATTTCGAACATCAGATCCATTGGACACTGCTCGCAACGGACCTGATTGGTCGTAACATAAGCCAGTCGAGTCGACCGTTTTTAGCGAGGCGCTTTTCGCTTCATCACGAATATTCTGTGATAACTGTATAACTGCAGCTTTCACAATTTTTCTTTATGTGTATTAAAGTTATCTCAAGCTACCGCTCCTTTTGATATATTGTGGTGGGTGGGACGGCAAGTCAAAGACCAATAGAGGAATTGCAACACCGTGTGCATTACATAACAAAAGGTTGTACTTCGTTCGAACTCCCGATTACTCTCCTCCAGTCCCGGGTAATCTGTTTTGTTGTTTTAATTTGCATAACTGCTCTGTACCGAAGTGGTACCACATCTGGGTGATTTGATCACTTTTTTCATCTTTGGAACCACCGTTGACCTTTATCGTAAAGTTCTGTTCAATTCCCACAGCCATCTGTGAGAAGCCTTCCCAGGATTAACTACTTATTTTAACCCAGTTTTCTCAGCACCGTAATCAATTAACAAGGCGAAGTCGTTTACTTCAATTCTGGCGGAGTTCACGTTTCGTGCACAAGTATAGCGCTTGATCACCTGTGTTTCTTAGTGCAGTATTGTAAGCGCGTAGGAAGGATGAAGCTTACCATCGCCCCGACTACGGACACGTGATAAACTTCAC